CTTACTGATCTGTTTGCTTTTGCCATTATCGCCTCCAGTCCATTACATAGAATTCAGATGATGCCCACTTAGGCTTAAATCCCAAGTCCTTCATATGCCCTTGCCTGATCTGGTCTTTGTCTTCTCTGCCTCTTCACCCTCATTTCCCACTACACTATCTCTTATTCTCAACATTTCAGACATCGTTCTCTCTTTGCTTTTCTCTCCCTCAAGATCTTTCCCCAGGGTGTTCCCTGTGCTTAGAACATCCCCTCTTTCTTTGCCTGGCTGACTCTTTATTTTTCAGATCTCAACTTAAAGGTTGCTTCTCAGCATTGATTCCCTTTCCCCTCCATCTGGATTAGAGGGGGATCACTGCCCCTATTCCTTCAGGACCTGGCACTTTTCTTCCTTTGACCACGAGTTATGATTGTGTATCATTTGTGTTTTCTTGTTTGGTGTCTTGAGTATCTTAATTGTTTTGTTTAATGACTCTGAACTCCATGAAGGCTGGGACTGTTTGGCTCTAAACAGTGTATTCTTGGTATCTGATACAGAATCATGCATAGTACAGACAATAAACATTTAGTGAGTACCTTAATAATTCAATGGTAAGAACACTGTTTCCACAGGACTCCAACGTTGGAAGGGATAACATAGATTATTTAGTCTAGGGCCGGGCTTAATGGCTCACGCCTGTAATCCCAGCACTTTGGGAGGTTTAGGTGGGTGGATTGCTTGAGTCCAGGAGTTCAAGACCAGCTTGGGCAACATGGCAAAACCCCATCTCTGCAGAAAACACAAAATTAGCCAGGCTTGGTGAGATGTGCTTGTGGTCCCAGCTACTCAGGAGGCTAAGGTGGGAGGATTGCCTGGAGCCCAGGAGGCAGTGAGCTGAGATTGTACCTCTGCACTTCAGCCTTGGCAACAGAGTAAGACCCTACCTCAAAAAAAAAAAAAAAAAAAAAATTTAGTCCAGTCTCCCTTTCTATCACGTTGGTCATGTCTTTGACAAAGGTGCACTCAAACTTTATTCCTTATGTACTCTGTGAGCAAAACCCCTGGGTTCCTTTGGTTGTATCTCAAGTGGAGTGGTTGCTATGTCCTTTGCATTCCTGTCATTCTCTCAAGTGCTTAGGAGGCCTGGCCAGGTGGAATAAAGTAAGATGGTTGTCCTCTTTGATTACTGCAGCATTTCCCTTCATTCTCAGACTGCATGCATGTCTTGGCAGTCGTCATCAATACCAATGTGTGTTGAGCTCGTAGTCAGGGAAGATTTGATGGCTGTTCTCCATACAAGTGATCACAGCTTTTTTTGTCTATAAAAATTTCTTGCAGATTGCATTGTCATGGATAGCACCTGTCAGTGGCTTCCTTTGCCAGGTTGGCAAGTGTGTTATAAACATGGATTAGAGGAGGGAACTTCTATTTAGCACCTACTGTGTACCGGGCTTTCCTAAATAGTTTAAAATGTGTATTTACATTATATAATATATATAAAATCAGGCAGGGAAGTATAGGATAGTTGTTAACATGTAGAATCTGGAATCAGACCTCCTTGATATTAATTATGACTCTACTTACCTGTTGTGTGAGCTTTGATAAGTTCCTTAAAGTCGACCTGCCTGTTTCTTCATCTGTAAAATTAAAATAATAATTTAACCTTTAAATAAGTTGGTTGATGGTTTGATAACTTAATATATGCAAAGCATTTATGACAGTACTGGCACATAGAGGTTAATATGTGTTAGCTATTATTTTATATGAGTTCCTTAATTTTAAAAATATTTACATTTAATTTATTTTAAAAATTGTTTTAAATATGTGCTTGCTATTATCTCATTTCGTTCTCAAAAGAACTGTCAGTTAATAAATATCACTCCAGATTTGTTTGTTAAAATGGGGTCTTGCTCTATTGCTGAGGCTCTATTGCTGAGGAGTACAGTGGCTCTTAACTGTTGTGATCACAGTGCATTGTAGCCTGGAATTTCTGGGCTCAAGTGATCCTGTTTGAGCCCAGGATTACAGCTGAGATTACAGGCGGTCGCCACCACAGTTGGCCTCATTCCAGTTTTAAAGATGAGGAAACTTATTCAGAGAGGTTAAGTTAAAGGCAGATCCAGAATTTGAGCTTGTGCCAGGGTAGCAGGGTCATGGATGTTTTTGTGGAAGGAATCACACACAGCCCTTTCCTCTGAAAGGGAAAGCACTTAGAGTCTTGTGGCCAGCCAGCTCTGCAGGATGCCTTGGTTGTAGCTCTAATGAGGCAAGGCCACATATTAGCTTTAAATAAACTGATGAGGAAACAGTGACAATGAAAGATGTAACATGGCATAGTGGTCAGTCTCCTGCCCAAGACTGAGCTCCTTGCAGCAGGAGCAACCATACTCATATTCGTATTTCTGGTACCTAACACTGGGTCGGTAATATGTATTCTAGATGCAGGCCAGTTGGAGTGGTTCATACCTGTAATCTCAGCACTCTGGGAGGAGGCCAAGGCCACAGGATTGCTTGAGGCCAGGAGTTTGAGACCAGCCTGGGCAACATAGTGAGTCCCCCTGCCCCCACCCCTATTAAATTAAAAAAAAACAAATGTTGGTGAATAAGTGAGTAAATTAATAAGTGAAAATTTGGAGAGGGGTGGAGACCTAGCAAGGGAGGCATGACCAAAGCCAGGGTTTCTGGCATGGTCACTGGAGAGTGGTAGCCAGTGGAGGAGGCGGAGCAAGAAAGGTGTGGGTTTGATTTAGACAGGTGGAGTGTGATTCTAGTAGAAATATTTAATGGGAAAAGTGAAATGAGGAAGAGAGATTAGGATTGGAAATACACTGGAAACTTCTCTTGAATTTGAAACCTGGAACATGTATCCTTAGAATGACAGTTGAATTATTTCAAGAAGTTTTCAAAGAAATGCTGTTAAATCATGTGACAAACATTATTCTATAGTTACTTTAGACTTTACATCTTTTTCTCTCAGCATTATGTGATGGGAAACAATTTCATATTAGAGAGACAAGAGATTGCAGGGACTTTTAGAACTAAGCCACATATAAAATACACGTATAAATGATACCTTACTGTAAACGTTCTTTGCCTCAGTACTGTAAATAACTTTGGAGAGCTAATTAAAGTGAAAATTCTTACGTAGATATTATAAAATAAAAAGCTCGGGTTATTAATGTAGACATCACACCAGGGTCATTGTGTCATAGATAAGCAAAATCTTTGTCATTCAGGAATAGTTCAAGCTGAAAGTAAAATCAAACCACCTGAAACAATGGGAAGAGGGTAAAGTAGAATGGTATTTATCTTGATACTAACTAGCCTTTTTCCCCATTATTTATTTAACAATTTTACTTTGAGGCCTTTAAAAGTTCACTGTCTGTATCACCAAACCTTAATTGGAGAGGTTATGTTTCGTGTCATCCATATTAGAAGTTCAATTTTATCTTAATAAAGTCAAATTTGCAATATTTTAGTAAATAATTTTTTTAAGATACCGCTTTTTTCCTTTTTTTCTTTTCCCCTTCCCTTCCCTTCCCTTTTTTCTTCCCTTTTTTCTTCCCTTTTCCCTCCCCTCCCCTCCCCTCCCCTTTGATGGAGTCTCGCTCTGTTGCCCAGGCTAGAGTGCAATGGCACGATCTTGGCTCACTGCAAGCTCTGCCTCCTGGGTTCACGCCATTCTCCTGCCTCAGCCTCTTGAGTAGCTGGGACTACAGGTGCCCGCCACCACGCCTGGCTAATTTTTTCGTGTTTTTAGTAGAGACTTTTTCACTGTGTTAGCCAGGATGGTCTTGATCTCCTGACCTCATGATCGGCCCGCCTCAGCCTCCCAAAGTGTTGGGTGTTGGGATTACAGGCGTGAGCCACCGTGCCTGGCCTTCTTTTTTTTTTGAGATGGAGTCTCGCTCTGTCGCCCGGGCTGGAGTGCAGTGGCACAATCTGCAATCTCGGCTCACTGCAACCTCCATCTCCCGGGTTCAAGCAATTCTCCTGCCGCAGCCTCCTGAGTAGCTGGGATTACAGGTGCCCGTCACCATGCCTGGCTGATTTCTTGTATTTTTAGTAGAGATGGGGTTTCACCATGCTGGCCAGGCTGGTCTTGAACTCCTGACTTCAGGTGAGCGCCCACCTTGACCTCCTAAAGTGCTGGGATTACAGGTGTGAGCCACCGCACCTGGCTCCCTTTTTTTTTTTTTCCTTTAATGATGAAGCATACTCTACAAATATGTGTAATTTTCGCCTGGCACGGTGGCTGACACCTATAATCCCAGCATTTTGGGAGGCTGAGGTGGGCGGATCACCTGAGGTCAGGAGTTTGAGACTAGCCTGGCCAACATGGTGAAATCCTGTCTCTACTAAAAATACAAAAATTAGCCGAGTGTGGTGGCGCACATCTGTAATCCCAGCTACTCAGGAGACTGAGGCAGGAGAATCACTTGAACCTGGGAGGTGAAGGTTGCAGTGAGTCAAGATGGCGCTGTTGCACTCCAGCCTGGGTGACAAGAGCGAAACTCCATCTCAGATAAAATAAAATAAAATGAATAAATATGTGTAATTTTCTAGGTCAGCTTCTTTTTCTATCTATAGAATAAATTAGTTATTACAAAGATGGTATTTTCATTGTATCTACTAGCATTTACAAGAATGTTGATGGTTACCTTTATGTTTTAAATTTGACTTTTCCTGTTTAAGTCTTAATATATTTGGGAATTTTCATGTTATTAATAAAATAATTACTTTAGAACAGCCAGAAAAGACTATTGAGATTGTTTAATATACTTCCCTTGTTGTACATATGGCTTATCTGAGATCAGGAGAGGTTGCAGCCTTTTACTAAATTATTTGAAGTTTGAAATTATAGTGCCTAAAAAAAAAAAAAAAAGCAAAGATAGCTTTAGTCTTTTAAAATGTATTTCGTTGTTTAAAGGTGTGTTTGGGCATTTGTTTCCCTTTTAGTTTTTGAAAATTTTCCAGAATTCAGTTGTATTCCTTACCTTTTAAATGTTTTTGTCTTTCAGGAGTCATAGGAAAGCAGTGGGAGTTGAAGTCATTGTCAAGTGCTTGCGATCTTTTACAAGAAAATCTCACTGAATGATAGTCATTTTAAATTGGTGAAGTAGCAAGACCAATTATTAAAGGTGACAGTACACAGGAAACATTACAGTTGAACAATGACTCAGCTATATATTTACATCAGATTATTGGGAGCCTATCTCTTCATCATTTCTCATATTCAAGGTAAATCAGTGTTCATTTTAGTAATGTATTTCTGTATATAAAAAACACTATTTCTTGCTTCTGTTCTTTCTACTCATCCCTGTTTGAATAGTTAAGCCTAACTATTCAGTAGTTAGGCCTACTAGCACAGCTTTTAGGAAAGAAGCAAAGATTAAACACATGCCAAATAATTTTTTAACTTGGTTGTGATGGAAACATTTTCAAGTGTTTTTGAAATCTCATTCTCTCTGAGTCTATCTTCTCCTTCACAACATAGGCGTGATGATACACAGCATTAGGTCTTGTGAGGATTAAATGAGATAAAGTATGTAAAGCCACCTCAGTTAGTGGCTGAAAGACAGGGTAATAGATATTCCAGACTGAGCTTCAAAATCCCTCTCTCCTTTAAAATACAGTAAGGAGCAAATGTAAATAATAATTTAAAAATCATTTTATTGGCTAGGCACGATGGCTCACACCTGTAATCCCAGCACTTTGGGAGGCCGAGGTGGGGGGATCATGAGGTCAGGAGTTCAAGACCAGCCTGGGCAACATGGCAAACCCTCGTCTTTACCAAAAAATACGAAAACTAGCTAGGTGTGATGATGGGTGCCTGTAATCCCAGCTACTAGGGAGGTTGAGGCAGGAGAATCACTTGAATCCCGGGAGGCAGAGGCTGCAGTGAGCCGAGATCGTACCACTGCACTCTAGCCTGGGCAACAGAGCAAGACTCTGTCCCCACTCACCACCCCCCCAGAAAAATTTCATTTTATTGTTGTCAAAAGACTTTAGAAAGATAACTGGCACTTGTCTATGCTGAATACTAAAATTTCTTCATAGAGCACTGACAGTTTGTTTATGACCAATAATGTAATTTTGCTACTATGTGTTCACAACTCAGAACTCCCAAACAGGAAGTTATTGTGATGACTTTTAGGACCAGATGGCCTGTGTTTGCACATAAGCTTTTTCCTGTATGGTTTAAGTAGGATTATATTTTAAGCTGAAAAGACAGTACTGTTTTGCAAGAGGATTTTAGGTAAAACTTACTGGATGTCTTCATACTCAAGTTTTTTACTTCACAGGTTGCTTTTTCCTAACGTTTTATTCGCAGTGATCTGGATTAATATCTACTGTTAAAAAGAAACATGATTAACATCATAAAGCTTTTGATATTTTCTTTTTCTTTTTTTTTTTTTTTTTGAGACAGAGTCTTTCTTGCCCAGGCTGGAGTACAGTGGCGCCATCTCGGCTCACTGCAAGCTCTGCCTCCTGGGGTCACACCATTTTCCTGCCTCAGCCTCCCGAGTAGCTGGGATTACAGGTGCCCACCACCACGCCCGGCTAATTTTTTGTATTTTTAGTAGAGACAGGGTTTCACCATGTTAGCCAGGATGGTCTCAATCTCCTGACCTCGTGATCCACCCTCCTTGGCCTCCCAAAGTGCTGGGATTACAGGTGTGAGCCACTGCGCCCGGCTGGTATTTTCATCTTAAAGCACAAACAGAATGAAATCTATAGCTTCTTTTTATTTTGTCTTAGTATTATAATCATATCCTTAGTATTAACATGCTTGGAATACAGAGCCTTCAGCAAAAGCCACTTTTACTTGTGAAACACCGAATTATTTAGTACAATACCTTTACTTCAATATCCATCACATGCCTTGTTGATCAGCATCAACCAAAGCTGCTATAGTTTTAAAGATGAGTTAAATTCATAGTAATATTATATTTGCTACCTCAGTCCCAGGTAATCTCCGTTTTGGCATAAGTTTTTTAAAATTCTGTTTAGATCACACATAGACAATATGATACAAAATTCTCAGTCCTCGCCCCAATTCACGTTGTTCTATAATAAACTTTTATTAGATGGAATAAGTTGGTAATTAGTTACTATGTAAAAGCAAAAGATCTTATTAAGAATTACATTTCTCTGATAAAGAGTGAAATTTGTTACATTTCCTTTCAAAAAAATTATTTTGATAGTTGCTTCAAATAACATAAAAATGTTTGCTCTTAAAGCTAAAACCAATGTAGAAAAGTTATTTCTTAGAGATCTTAGGAAGGATTGTAGAAGGGTATTAATGGAAATAACTTTTGACTTTAGCTCTAGCTTTATCTTGTTTTGAATTGTGTCTCAGGAAAATAAACTTACCTGTACCTTGGTTTCCTTGATGTAAAATAGAAGTAATAATGCTTATCCTAGATACAAACAAGAATGTTTTGACCATCAACTGTTAGGGTATAAATTTAAGTGCTTTACATTGAGATAAAGTTTGAATAGAAAAATGAGTCATCTGATATTAACAGCTGATAGATACTAAGTTATTTTTTTTTTTTTAAGACTTGATCACAAATTTTACAGCAGGATATATTAATATTGGGTAGATATTTAGTCCCTTTTTTGAATTTTGTCACAAATTTCAGAAATGGATTTTAGCTTTAAGTAACTAATAATGACTTCAATAGAGATTTATTTTTAACATGGGTGGTAGATGTTTACTGTTCGTTCAATTATTGAGTAGTGTCAAGGCTGACATGTCTGTAATTTTCTTGACATTTCCCTTGTGGTTCCCAAGTGGCTACTATTATCTGCATTTGAGGCAGGTAAAACGGGGAAAGGGTCAACATTGGCCTCAACTAGACCTGATACCAGGAAAGCAAAAGTATCACAGGTTTTGTCATAAGTCCTAATCATTCTCATAGCAAGAGCTACTAGAAAACAGAGAAACAGTATTGTCACAGTTGGCTTAATCTGTATCCATTGCCTAGGGCTGGATGTGTTGTTCCCCCAAACAAAATCAGAGTTTGGTTAGCTGGGAAAAGGGGAAAAATAGGTATCAATTGGGCAACTAAAAGGGTCTGGGAGAGATTTAATTTCTTCCATCAATTAGAATGTTTTCCTCTACAAATAATTAAAAAAAAATTTAAAGGAGCTTAAGCATGACATTTTGGGTTAGGTGATTTTTATTTTTTTAAAAAGACTTGAACAATAAGGAGAATGTAGTAACACACAAGAAGTCTGGATATAAGGGGACTGTAGTTGATTATGTGGCTCATCAAGACCCACCTTCTTTGTCTTTTCAACTGTGCCATCTCTAAATGTCAGGTTAGCCACAGTGTCACAGTGTGGCTGCTGAGAGACCAGACATCACATGCAGATGAGGTAAGCTTGAATTGACAATGCTCAGTTAAAGAAGAGGGACACCTATTTGTATCTCTTTTTAATTGATAAATCTTTCCCCAATCACTCATCCTCTCCCCAACAGACTTCCTTCCCATCTTAGTGGCCAAAATTCATTGTATGCTCTTATGTGAAATCACTGGCAAGGGGAATGGAACTAAAATTGTTGGATTAGACCAACAATTATCTCTGCTGAGAGTAGAGGGCTGCGCTTCCCTGAATCACATGGGGGAGGGGCAGACCCTTAATGTGTGTGTACATGTGCACATGCCTGTTGCCAGCAAGGGAAGGAGGGGAAGAATAAGAGTATCTGTTGCCGGGTACCACATTTGTCAACCTGATGTCATACATATGCTAAAATGCTCATGTTGCTATGAAATTTTCAGTTCCTTTTCAAAGGGTTCTATACCCCAGAGTTGCATCCATGTAGTACACGCAGCTACTAATCCAGGACTTGTGGCTGGTGCGAAGCCCTCTCCTTCAGGTCCAGGTGCCTCTTCAGGGTCCAGCAGTGTGTGGCTAAAAGCAGTTATCAGTGCACAGTATACCCAGTATCCAGTGACAAAAATGAAGTGAGATTAAGTACTATATAAAACTCCCATTCAGAGGAAGAAAAATTGGAAACAACCTCAGTATTCACTGCTCCATAGCATGTAGATTAATGATGCTTAGCCTGTTTGTCAGCCTCTAGTTTTATTTTCTGGGAGGATTTGCCTTCTCTCTGGTGTTTCTTGGCTAGTGTTTCTGCCTTCATGGTCACATATGAGATGGAATTAGTGGATGATGATCTTTGTGGAGACTGAACAGCTTTAGCAGCCTGCTTTCTGTTAGTATGGAGGTCTGATTACTGGAAATTGTCCTATGGATTGAAAACTCACAGTCTGACTGAGTCAGCCTGGGATATCTTTGGCAGTGCAGTTCCCAATTAAAGTTGTAGTAGTCCTACATTCTATTTTCTTTGGTCTCTTTGTTTTCATTCCATTAAACAGTTAAATATCTTGTCTAGATTTGTGTTCTGAGAATTTCTGACCTAGCCACTGGCCTCTGCTTTGCCCGTTCTCCTGGCCTTTGGTTTAATGACCTCCGCTCTGAGGCCCTCTGCTCCTTTCCCATGCTAGAAAATGACCTGCTTTATTTGGTATCATAGCACTTATCTATGAATAAATATTAAAATAGTACCAAATGTCAGTATTTATTCGTCTTTATTGTCTTTCTCTGTCCAAGACTGTAAGCTTTAATATATATGGGACTTTGTTTTGTTTACTCTTCTAGTCACCCAGGGCTTAAAACCGTGGCTAGCACTGTGTACTCAGTACATTTTTGTTTAATGGATGAATACAGTTAAAGTGAAAAGAGCAAGTTGCAAAACTACTTTTTTTGCCATATATTTTTACACTAACCAACCCATTAGCAACAAGCCCCTGTAACAACCCATTTGTAGTATCTGATTATCTTTTTTCACTAAGGATCTAGAACTCCTTGGAGAAATCACTAAGTTTAAGTTTGGCAGGGAAAGAGCAAGGTGATCTTGGTATCTTGGCCAGAAAGCAAGGAGAAAAGTTCAAAGGATTCAGTGACCGGCTTGAATTGGACACGAATTGCAGTGGATTCAAACAAATCAAATATGTTTAAATCCATGTGTTTGTAATGATACTTTAGAAAAAAACTAGTTAGGGCTGGGGGCTGTGACTTAAACCTGTACATGCCAGCACTTTGGGAGGCCAAGGCAGGAAGATAACTTGAACCTCAAGAGTTTGAGACCATCCATGGCTAAACTGGGAGCCCCTTTAAAAAAAAAAAAAAAGAGTTTGAGACCAGCCTGGGCAACATAGAGC